AACCACTGTTCGGCGCCAAGTAACATTTCCTCTGATCAAGGAGCAGCCGGCTTGCTTGGTTTTCGCAATGAATACTGGGTAAACCAAGGATACCGAGGATACATCGGACCCGTCCATCAAATCTGGCAAAAAGAAGGACGCATTTTAAGGTCGCATAACGAGGAGTCTTGGAATCTGACCAGACCTCGGCGCCGTGCTATGACGTAATCGCCCTTCGAATCTGGCCTTCTAACGACGCGTCCTAGGTTTTCGAACAGAGCATAAATCTGTGAAACAGAGCACTTCTCCTTTGCTGAGATAATCCACTCCACCTCACAGGTGTGCCACAAAAAGATGCTGATTAGGCAGTATGATTGCACACCATGCGCACAGGTGTGCCTCAGGCTGCCCAAAAGAAAAGGCCACTCTGAAAGGTGCTGTTTAATCACACAGTACAATGCCACAGATATTGCAAGATTTGAGTGAGCTTACAATTGGCATGCTGACAGCAGTGATGTCAACCAGAGCTGTTGCTTATGTATTGAATGTTCATTTCTCAAACATAAGCCCTCTCCAAAGTCCTTTCATATAAATTGGCTGTACATCCAACCAACCGCAACACTGCAGACCACGTGTAACTGATTCACACCTTAGTACTAAACTTGACCCCTGACCCAAAAACAGCAATTCCCCATGTGGGGTCCACGCTACACAACGAGCAGTCTGTCTCCACAAGGTGCCCTTTTCCCTATAAATGGGCCACACAATGTTTCAAAAACCAGAGCACAAACACACACCCTTTGTTAAATGTGAGAAATTCCACAAAACATTAGATAATATAGGCACGATTGTACTTGTTTACGTTAATAAAGCTACTTTCAACTGCAATTTGTTTATGTTGTCCGTCCTTCTTTTGGTTTTAGTGTGATAGCAAAACTGCTTAAAACAACTTTATCATGTTGAGCTGTATTTGTCCCTTCAACCCCAATACTACCTTCAAATGTAATCAGAGTCTCAACCTCATCACATACGTTTAAATTACTTATTTTTTAATAGTTTGAGAAATTGAATTTTGCCTTAATTGTTGAAGGCTATCATTAGACCTCTAAATTAAATTAGCTTGTCCGTTATCAGAAATATTTAATGTAAAATTATGCATTCATGAATGTATGGATTTCAGGCTTTGAAATTGAAAAAAAAAAAAAAAACTCTAAATCTTTCTCTACTCTTAAAATCCTAAAATAAATGTGGGGGAAATCTATTATATAACAAAAAAAACAAAAAAAAATGTTTTCTCACCCCTCGTGGGGTGGTATGTGTCATCCTTAAGCTCGGGTCCTCTACCAGAGGCCTGGGAGTTTGAGGGTTCTGCGCAATATCTTAGCTGTTCCTAGGACTGCGCTCTTCTAGACAGAGACCTCTGATGTTTTACCTGGAATCTGCTGTAGCCACTCTCCCAGTTTGGGTTTCACAGCCCCCAGTGCCCCAATTGCCACTGCTGCTCTTACTTTCCACATCTTTTCTAGCTCCTCTTTCAGCCCTTGGTATTTCTCAAGCTTCTCGTGTTCCTTCTTCTTGATTCTTCTTGTTGCTGTCGCTTGGGATTGCCACATCTATCAATACTGCCTTCTTCTGCTGTTTGTTGATCAACACGATGTCTGGTTGGTTAGCCATCACCTATTTGTCAGTCTGGATCTTGAAGTCCCATAGGATCTTAGCTCGGTCATTCTCAACTACCTTAGGAGGTGCCTTTCATTTTGACCTTGGGACTTCCAGCCCATACTCATGGCAGATGTTCCTGTACACTATGACAGTTACCTGGTTATGGCGTTCCATGTATGCACTTCCTGCCTGCATTTCACACCCTGCTGTTATGTGCTGTATTGTTTCAGAGGCATCTTTGCACAGTCTGCATCGGGGGTCCTGCCTAGTGTGGTAGACCCCGGCCTCTATTGATCTTGTACTGAGTGTCTGTTCTTGTGCTGCCATGATTAGTGCCTCTGTGCTGTCTTTCAGTCCAGCCTTTTCCAGCCACTGGTAGGATTTTTTGATATAAGCCACTTCTGCAATTTGTCTGTGGTACAGACCGTGCAGCGGCTTGTCCCTCCATGATGGTTCTCCTTCCTCTTTCTTGTCCTCACTTTCGGTTTTCTCCTACCTGAGGTATTCGCCAAGCCAGTTGTCTTTGGGGGCCATCTTCCTGATGTACTCCTGGATCTTAGTTGTTTCATCCTGGACAATGGTCTTGACACTCACTAGCCCTCGGCCTCCCACGCTACGCTTGGTATACAGTCTCGGGGTGCTGGATTTGGGGTGTAATCCTCCATGCATTGTGAGGAGCTTTCTCGTCTTGATGTCAGTAGCCTCTATCTCCTATTTTGGCCAGTTTATTATACCAGCGGGGGATCTGATGACTGGCAGGGCATATGTGTTGATGGCTTGGATCTTGTTATTCCTATTCAGCTGACTTTTCAGGACATGCCTTACTCTTTGTAGGTATTTAGCTGTGGCAGCCTTTCTT